GAAACAATCGTTAGTTACAGTCCTAAAGCACTCTTTGAATATTTTAAAGTGTGCTACAGTTATTTGTATTTTAGGATGCATACAACAATCCTTTACATACTGGTCTACCTTCCAGCTCTGATCTTATGGGAAATTGTAAGTGGGCCATTTTGTTCATTCATTTTGCCTCTGCTCGCCCCCATAACAAGGACTTACATAATGAAATAATTTGTTTAAAATAATGATTTTCTAATATGTCATTAGTTCAATGTACCTCTGACTCCTTGTCGCTTGAGGATCCCATGCTTCCAAAACTGTGATTTGAGTCATTATTGGTCAAACCCTGAGGGAAAAAAAACATTGGAGGATGAGACAAAGCTTTGCCAATTACAACACTATTCGGATCAATTATTATGTGCGAAATTTGAATATTGACTCACTTTGGTTCCCCCACTTGTGCTACCTGTGCTGCCCCCTGTGCTCCCACTGACCCCGCCCATAAAGCGGGCCTCCAGCAGCTCCTGTCTCCGGGGATCCAGGCTGTTCAGCTCATCCATGGTGCCTGGGAGGATTAGTAACAATTCACATTGTCTCAGTTATTCAAGCATCAGATTAATTGAAGCTTTTAATGCAACCACTCAAGAGCAGATGACAAAGCCGTTAAGAAGGAGACTTATTTTGTTACAACCACAAACAGGTGATAAGATTTGAGTCTAGACCAGAATATAGGTCAAGATGTTGAACCATTCCCTAGTCATCATATCCAAGACAGATTCCCCTTTGTGGCACCGGGGAGATAAGCAAGCTCTTAATTACGCTAACTCCTGCTACAATAACAATAAAAAGGTCATCCAAATAATGTATGATACGTCAAACTGCAGAGTAGATATCCAGTATCAGGTGCCTCTGTAGCGCAAACACTTTTATGATGAGAATCCACGAGCTGTGTTTTGACTGCTCGGCCCTGATGAATACTGCACTCCTGTGGGATTGTTACGTGAGCTCCTTGGGCTTCAGCGTTGCTGCTGCTGACTCAGAGGGGTCTGCCCACTAAACCTGTGCTTTAATGAGACAACCATTTTGAATCTATAAAAAGGAATCTAATTAAATGGAGGGGAACAGTACACATTGAGAAAGTCTGCTTGATATTAACAAAATAACAAAAGCAGCTGGGAACGGGCATATTGGTGGTCAAACAAAGATTAATCAAAAGAGTAAAGTGCACCAGAAATAGACAAACATGCTAACAATCGAAATCCATTTAAAGCCACGCACCAAATCAACTTTGACAGCAGCACATGGAGCTAGTGTTCACCTCTGACAACGTGTAACATACCAGAAGGTGGAGGAAAAATACACAAGACGTCATTATAACACCAATAAGATGATCTCAGTTTGTCATTCATTTAAAAAATGCTTCATGGAACCAACACAACAAATATTTGAGATGAAGGGAAGTGATAACTCCTATATCAAAATATGGTTGTCTGAATGGCTCATTTATTTACAACATGTGAATTAAAGAAACACAGACCAGACAAACGTACTCCCTAGGTGGTTGTGGAACGTGATAAGTCAACTTCCTTCCTCAACAAATAAAACCACAAATATACAATTTTCAGACCTCTGAACATTTGTCCATAGTCTTAGAAGAGCACGGAAGCTGAACTTAATTAAGGGCCATAGCTTCAGTGTTCAAAAGACATTGCATGATACAAATCAAGTCTTAGGAAGAACAGCTAAACAAAAAGCCATTCCTTATATCTTCCAAAACAAAAACCCTGTCTGCTATTAAGCAAGACCTACACTTCAATGGGAAACATGAAGCTCCTGAAGAAATGTTTTGTTTCAGGAATAATTCAGCCCACTCACTAAATCAGGGATAGTCAACTTGCTTTGCCTGGGGGACAATTTAACGTTTTGACAGGGGTCCCCTGTCTGGGGTCCACAGATCCTCCCCTGACAACTGCTTCTCCATAAACAAGCTCTATTGGTCTATTTTGATTCACTCTTTTTATATTTGTTGTTGTGATTTATGAAATGTTCAGCATGCCCAGTTATACACAATTTACGGCAAACCGCAGGCTTTAAATTGAGTATCACAGCACCAAATAACACAACATTGCAATTGCAACTACTTTTCAGATCAGAAGATGATAAAGCAGGTGTCCCAAAATGGCTCATGCTATTACATCAAAATCACTTCCAGTCAAACAATCATTGTTTTGATACATTTAAGATTAAATGATACCTCAGACTACAGAAGCAGTGATCATATTTTTAGAAGTTAGCCATGCATACTGTTGACAACACCTAATGACCAAGTTGTGTGGGTGTAAGTTAAGTTAGGGAGACACATATGTTAATAGGATACATCTTAGTAACAATTAGGCAAGACAGAGGAACACTGTATGCTTGGTATATTTCCCATGATGGGTCTGTGGCTTCTCATCAATCTTGCAGTCTATTTGGCTGAAGACTTTATAACTAGAGGAAAGAGCAAGACTATTTTTGCTATGAGTTAAAACAAAGCTTATTTTGTAGCCCTATAATCACAAAGACAAGTTTCCTCACTTAGCAGTCAACTATCCAATTCAAATAGATAGCACATATTTCATTTTCCTCTTGGACTTCCCTTTGTTTAATGTGAATGCCCCAGTGCATAACTATTATCTATATTCAAGCCCCTGCAGGAACACGTGGTTGAACCCTTACAACCCTTGCTCTGAATGTCATTTTAACTCCGTGCTGCTCAGCAGAGTGACCACCTGTTTATGGCACACACACACGAAAAGTCTAAAAAATCTCTGACAAAAACTGGGATGAATTTGGTTCCCTCACTGGCAATTTAAGCAACAACACAGATGAGCAATAGTCTCCCAATTTCCCATATGTAAAAGTGCTCTTAATAGCCATCCTTTGATACATGTAAACCAAAGCATTATAAAACAAGGACACATTGAAGCTCCCTTAAATGTCCAAAGCTAAGTAAAAGTCCTGCATCATTGCAACATGCGGTAAATAAACACAGAGTGCAAGAAGTAAGAACATTATTAGGTCACCAAAAGGACCAAATAAGCATAATGTCTTAATTTCGTGTGTTAGCATGCTGCACAGTCTGTTTCCCATGGGTGCACCCCTCATTATTGTTGGGGAATCTAGCGTTAGAGGTCTTTCCTCCAAGTTACTTTTATTACAAAAAAGGTCAAACAAAGCTACCCATCATCAGTATAATCTATATAAAAAAAGGGTTTCCTTAAAATACCATAATTACACATAATGTTAGATGCATGCTGTCATGTTTAAATTCAATTTAAGAACCGTTGAGATTAACAGCAGTTGCACATGCACAGATATTGAGACCACTATTGATAGGCAAGCATCACAATCTAGGCTACACACAAAGGATTGCTAACAGTGCAATGCATACCTAACTTATCCGGTGATAAAACGTTAACCCTCTCCATGAAATACTTGATTTCTCTTCCAGAATTAACTGACTGATTGTACATCTATATGCAACTTGTCTAGTGTTTGCTCTCAGCATGCTTAAAGAAAGGATGCACCGACTACAGCGGATAACCTTTCTGCTCTCCTAGAGGTTTATCGCCATTATGCACGCATTTTTCTTTAGGTTACTGCACTGGCCTGGGCACAGAAAGACGGTCCTGTGTCTTCGGTGCTACTAGCTAGCCAAAAACAGGCTCAATTGACTTTGGAGCTGACGCTTTGGGGTAACGTTAGCTAGCAAGCTGCTTTCGCCACCAACATTTGCTCGGTCGTTTAAACACAATTCCCTTTCTTTCTGCACAAAATAACCCAAACGAGCAAGTAGTAAAGACATGAACGTCTCAATACGTTTAACAATACCTTCCCGGGCCTTCACCCCTGCCGTGGTATGTTGCTGAAAACACAGTCCGTGTTGGGGACGTGGAGAGCTGGGACCAAAGATGGCGTCCCCTCCAAACTTCCACTACTTTGGACACTCATCAAGCTACTTTTCCTGTGTTGCTACTGGCAGTTAATCTTCCACGCACGCTGCGAAATTAACCGACTGACATACCACGGGTCTTTTAACAGGGGCAGGGTGACTGCCAGTGAGTAAAAGTGTATTAAATAATGTTTTTAGGGCACAAACCTCTTCACACCTCAGCAGTGTGTCCTGGCTCCGGGGCCACCTTTCCGTCTTCAAGTGGTTGCCTATGAAACGTCATGCATCGTGTGCAAAATTCTTATCGCGAGGGTGATACATTTTTCCTTAACGTCAATGTCAACATGAAGAATAAAGTCCAAACACAGATTACTTTTTCATTGTATTCACTGTACACAGTAACTATTGTCAGCCACATTTAGTGTACGGGTTGTGGACTGATGAAAAAAACCTGGAAATTATGATGTTTAAAATGTTAAATAAATGCCTATCATTTTTCTTTAAATATCTTAAATAGCTCTTGGATCATACCATCATTTCGTGGTTGCCCATTTCAGTCATGAAAACAAGTGGAAAATATAAGTTATGCTTCTTAAATGTCAGAAGTTTGATGCATCTCATCATTTTTACTTTACTTTATGCTGAGTAGGTTTTCATATTGAAGGAATCTGGTGTAATAGTAAATAGGCAAGACACATACATAAAGAAATAGAACATGGATGATACAATTGTTATTTAAAATATATGTATAAACAATGTAACTATTTGAAATGTAAAGAGTTGGGCCAGACACATATTTTCAAGGTGATGCAGACTTTTTAAAAAGTAATATAATAATAAGTAAAAAGTTTTATTTATAACAGGATTTTGACATGTCATGAGTATTTGTATCATGCACAACTATCATTGTGCGGGTTATATTAAGCACAATTTAGGGATGAAAATAAGAAAACATTGATTGTATCAGATTCATATAGGTCAGTCAGTTTCCCATTTTAAAGTGTCAACTATTTCCCCTTGTGGACCTAACCCTAAGTTCACTCAATAAATTCCTTATAAGCTTATGCATAACTTTTCAATGGAAACTAATACAATGATCTACGGCACAGCAACCAGACAACACCACATCTTTGTTCTTTGTTTTGTATGTTTATTGCAAACTGTTTCGTTATAGTACATACGTATACTCACTTGGTTAAAACTGTTTCCTAAGGGTGGAATGAATGAGATGCAAAGTATACAAAAAGGTCTTTAGCTCCAAACATTGCTGTGCTGGGTTGGGTGTCAAGATGGTGAAGGTGGATATAATTTCCTGTACTTGCTCTGCATCCAAACCCGGTGCATTGCTACTTTCTTTCCTCTGTTCACTTGAAGTCGTCTGTCCTCCAGGTTCTGAATTTCTTCCAATCCAGCATTGGAAAATAGTTTATGAACTTCTTCTGCAAAGCATACAGTAAATAATAAAAGTCAGTAACCAGAGATAACTGTTAGATAACATAACTGTTATTTTTTACTGAAACATTTCCGACTTGATCGGACAATAAAGTATTATTGTATCTTATAAAAATCTAAATGCCTAAAAATATTAAGGCTTAAATACTCTGTTGACTCCAAGTACCCAAACAAGTAGACCTTAATGTTTCTTTAATTTAATGGTCCTGTCAATAAATATATTTTGCACTTACAAGAAAATACCAAAAATACCTTTAGTGAAAAAGTAGACACAGGTTCCATCTCCACGTGTGTAGAAATTCTCTGATAAGCACCGTCCTGTAAAGGATTAAAAGGTTAAGCGGTTTAAGATAAAATGGAATACATTGGCAAAAAAAACTTCACACACAGAGGGGAATACAGAATATACAACACACAAGTGTAATGTTAGTTAAATGGCTTTATTCAGGTGTGCATTACTAGTTGTAGACTCACCCTTCTTAAACCTGAGTTGTGAGAAGTCGTATCTCCCATAATCACGGAAGAGAAATATCCCTCCATGTTTCAGGTATGAAGATAGATGGTTCACAATTCCATGCAATCTGTCAACGGAATTTCAATGAATAAAAAATTATCTTATACAACAGGACTTCAGCTAACGAACAAAACACAAGCTGTATATAAATTAACAAACAGCACTGAAGTATTGAGCTGACATGTCTTACTGAACATGGACAATGCTTATGCATGGGCAATGCATTTGGTAAAACAACAAAAATAAAACAATTAAATATGTATGCCACCATGCCTTACATTTAAAGCAAACCACTATAGAGTAAAGGTTGTGCTCAGTGATATTATACAGTTACATATAGATTTTATAATGAGATATAGAACAAAAGATCTGGCAGGTGAGAAATTATGTCAGACTCTGCTGTCCTTTAACCTTCAACTACCTCTCTGGATGAATCGAGGAGAGGACAAAGACTGCGAGAATAACATCCAGGCTCTGAGGAGGGAAGGGGAAGGAGGCGGTCTCCTCACAAATGTCATGGACAAAAGCATGACACACAGAGTCATCATAGTCTGGATGGTCCTACATGGAGAAAAAAAAGCAGGCTAGAACCCTAACCGTTTGATAGTCACACAAACTACATTTCTAAATGATAGCTGAGATACAGACTGGAGCAAGAGTTTAGTGTTTGTATTGCAGGTATTGCTTTGAAGAAGTGTATTAACCTAAAAGCAGTTATGTGCATTTTCATACCAAGCAATTTTAGAAAAGCTTACCTTGACCAGCTGAATGGCAGATTTGGAGAAGTCACAACAGTACAAAAATATGTCTGTCCCTCTGTGAAACATAAAATCACATTATTTACAAATATAGTACAGTACTTTCATGAATCTGACATAAGGATTATGCAGTAAATAATAATTATTAGCTATTTTAGTGGCCATTATTCTGGGTATTTGAAATGTTTTGCAAACATGTTGCACTGATAATGTAACCAAATTGATGTAGATTATATGCAAATATCTCAAACTTTACTCACTTTATGGAATTAACGATGGGAAACACACTGTTGCCCACCCCACATCCAACCTGTAAAGAATATAAAAGTATATTTTGTTGTTTTTTAAATCCATTTCTAAGTGCTGTATTAGTATTGCAACTAACAGCATGCTACTGTTTTCATATCACAATTGTATAATGGTCCAAATGCAACAATTCATATTTAAACAATCATATTCAAATCAATAAATGTGAGTTTTGAAAACCTCCAAGATCCTGTGTGATGCGTGCTGGCCAGGGAATGTGTTAGACTGTATGGCAGATGGGTTTTTTTCTAGTGCTGCTTCTTGACAGGAGTCTGTTTGATGATTGGGGACGTCTGTATTTCTGTCATGGTTTTTGGGCCCGTTGTGTTGCCGGTGTCTGGTCTCTGTGTCTGTGCTGGCTCCAATAGGTTGTAGGTATAACTCTGGATGATCCCCTGAAGGAAGCAGTTCTGGGAACTCTGAAAACAGCCACTTGCGATCTTTAAAGAACTTATCCTGGTGCATCGTGTAAAACTTGTCCCAGTATTGGCAAGCCTCGGTATCAAATTTTCCTGTGTGGAAAAGATTTTAGGATATTTTCAAAAAAAGGCTAACCCCAATCAAAACTTGGATAAATATTTTTGCGGGAATACATTCTTGCCTTGTTCCTCTAAAGGAATTTGTGTACAGGAATTTTCTTTTGCCTTCTGCCGTGCGTTTTCTTTATCCTCTTCTGTCCATTGCACATGATCCCTAAAACATAAAGCATTATCAATCAATTGTTAATACATCTGCTCAACTATAGTAAATCACAAACTGTATCAAAATGTATCACTTAAATGTTACCCTAAATTTCCGTTCAGTGTGGTTAAAAGTGGTTCGACCTATTCTGTAATCCTGCTTTCTCCATAATAACAACAAGAAATTGGTGACTAATTAAAGTCTTATCACATTTTATCACTTACCACATGTTGTGCTTAAAGACGTCATCAGAACTTGTCAGAATCCGTGAACCCAGTGGGGCTGAAGGTCTTCCTCCTGAGCTCTTTTGTCTTGAAAACAATCCGCTGGAAACTTTAGCCAATTTGGCAACAGAGAGGCTCCGAAGTGTATGCATTTTCTTCTGTAAAAAAAGCAGTAAGATTAATGTATCTTATAATTCTTTGACAATATTTTTGCATATTTCAGCTGATCAAACAAGTTATTAAGGATACTTTCCTCAACCAATGGGAGCACTTATTAAAAAATAACAAAAATTCTAATTCAACATATCTGGAAATACTTCGTTTTACAGGGAGGGGATTTGTTGGTATTTATTTACACTGCAGCACTGTAAATACTAGCAGTCTGAACCTTCTTGTTGACAAATTAATGAAGGTACAAAAGTATTTGTTTCGATACTTTAGTCAATGTAAACACAAATTAATGGAGAGCTGTAATGAACCCATACAGCAAAAATAATACTATGAAATAAAACATAGGCCTACATTATATTTATTTGTCCAGTAAGAGGTCACTTATCTTCAAGAGGCATGTCGTGTGCCACAATTCCTCACGTAGAAGACGCTTTTAGAAAAATACGAAAAACTGGTCTTTATTTAACAGGTTACAAGTTTAATTTCTACAATATAGCACCGTTTTTTGTTCCTTTTCTTTAATTTAATCATTCAAAAATGTGCCTTCCAGTCTTGAAGTTACACACTCTCTGGTACAGTAGGTGGCGGCATGCACCTTCAGACGTTGGTTTGCAGCCCGCCATGAAACAAAAAGGAGAGGAAGAAGAAGAACTACAAACATGGAGCGGGACAGAGCAGTTAGCATTGACTGTTAACAGTTAACTAACGTGTATCAACGGTTTACTGTTGATATCCATTATTTTCACGCCTGAACGACACAAATAATGAACGCTATGTGTTATATAACGAACTAACCCTAAGAACGGCTTTGGAACGAAGTAAACGAGAAGTCGTGGTGCACTGCTGTAACGGTGCTAACTTAGTTTGCGTTAGCTGGTAACTTTCCGCGTTAAACCCTAAACCCGTGGAAGAGGTTCAGTGTTGTCGGGGAGATGGAGCTCAGTGACGGGCACTGACGTTATCACTAGGGAAACCATATCGCCCTTACCTGACTGCCTGTGCTCTTGGAGGTTAGCTCGGATGGTTTTCTTCTGTCATGCTACAACAAACAGTCCTGTAGTAGAACATAACCAGTGCCCCCTGCTGATGGCGCCGTACCGGAGAAAAGGAGCCGTAAACGCCGCTGAGCTGCTGAGCCGGAGGAGCAGAGGTATCCGGGAAGCTGGCACTCTGAGCAGGCACAACATGAGGGTCCTGAGAGGTATCATCCTCCAGGTAACTCAAGACTGTTTTGCACATTTTTGCATGTTTTCACAATAATGTGTCATAATTTCTGTTGTATTTCTTTTTTCTTTTCCTTGTAAACTTTCTTTTCTATCTAAGTTTTAAAACATTTTCTGGTACCACTTTACAATAAGACTACCCTTATAAAGGGTTTACGAATAGTTAGTAATTCATTTATTAATTAGGTTGTGAACACTTTATAAATCATTAATAAGCTTTTATAAGACATGAGATAAACAGGGCAACTGTGACCGGTTGCTTGCCAAATAGTGAGCCCACATTTATCTGTAGCTACTGCTAAGTCTTATATTGGCTAAATAGCTTATGTTATGTTAGAACTGGTTTATAAATTGTTCTTAATGATTAATAAAGTGTTTAGAACCTAATTAATAACCTAATTATAAACCCTTTATTGTAAAGTGGTACCCATTTTTTAATAGTATTTCTATAGTTGCTATTACTTTACATCTCAATTTCTCGTAATGTGTTTATGTTTGCACTATTGTACACAAAACCAATTTCATTATTGCAAACATACTTGAAAATAAACCTAATCCTGATAGATATTCAGTTTTTATGAATGCTTTATAAATGTATTATCTCCTTATTATTGTTACATTGTAGGACAGCAGGGAGTTCATTAAAGCATGGAGCAAGACCTCAAAATCCACAATAAAGTATCAGGATGGCAAAATCTACTTACAAAATTTCCAGAACTGCTACAGCTGGTGAGTAACAATAAGATTTGCTAAATGTAGTATTTGGGGAAACATACTGTAAAATACAGAATATTACCTTTTCATCTTTAGATCTATAACAACATCTTTAAAATGTGCATTAAACTGTAACATAATGCATCTCTTAAAAAATCTAAATCTAAGAATTTCTACAGGTAAGCTGTAAGAAACAGATCATTTACATAAGTAAAGAAAGTCATATTTGTTGTTGTTGTTTTATCTCTCAATACCTAGGTTACCAGATGAAATTCCACCCAGTTTATTAATGTCATCTATACCAAAATGCTGTGTGGTTACAGTAACATGTAACATAAATGTATTGTGTCATGATGTTTAAGTAGATGGCATCAAGGTATAAAATGCAAAGGACACAGACAGTATAATAAAATATGTTTACTCTAACTAACAATGAGTGATTACATCTTCTGATTCCAGTGTTTATTCAGAGCCTCAACTTCTTTACAAACTGCCCAAGAGATCTAAATTGGAGAAATTTGAAGATGCCCTGTTGTGTCAGAGCTCGCTTGTAAGTGAAATTAAACCAAAAAAGCTGCATTTTCCATGACAATATTTTAAAAACTCATATTCAGATTGTTGTTTTCTTTGTTTTGTTGACAGGAAAGTACATTAGCCTCCCCCTCTGATCATAAACCCAGCCTCTTGGCTCTGACGGCCGATAATTGGCTGTGTCGCCTTTCAGCTGAAACGGGAGAAGAGCTGCAGAGAGTTTACCTCTCCTCGAAACACAAGTTCAGGTATCCTCAAGGCTTTGAGTTTTCTGTTCTTAGGTTGTAAATTAATATATGTATTCACAGTTAACTATACTCGGTTGTGTTCTGGCAGGTATCTTGGTTGGGATGTCACTCAAGAGATATTTTATGTTAAATCTGTTCAAAACAAAGAATCATCTTTAGCACGACAGGTAAGTTATTTTCTGAAGTTCTGTGCCTTACTGAAGAGTGATTGGACACTTTATTAAAAGTAATTAAGGTTCTTGCTGTGAATGGATTTTTGGCATTTCACACATTTAATAGGCTTATTGAGTCAATCCAAGAAAATAGATATAAAATCAGTCAGTGAAAGGTATTACTAGTCAAGAGTCAAAAACAAAATCATGGAGCATGACCATTACAATTGATCAGAGCTCAGAATACGTCTTTCAGTTTGAAAAGCTAGTTTAAAATGTTTTCTCCAAGTTTCATCTATTTCTTATTTATTTATTTTGAAGGCAGGTATCACTCAGAATACAGTGATGCATATGGCCATCTTTCATGTCTTCCCCCTACAAATTCTGGGCATGTTGGAGATCAACAAAAAGGTATCCAGATTTGTTTGTATTTTTTTCTTATTTTCAATTGTGGTGCAGATGTTATATGTAAATCTTATTTTTTCAGATATTTGGCAATGGGGTCACCGATGTTGATCTGTCTCTAGGGGTCCTTGTGGTGTCTTACAGCAACAAGTCAGTGAAGCTGTACAGTTTTGAGCACATTGTACAAAAGGTATGTATTTTTTGATCCTCAAAGAGTTTTGTGCACACTGTTAAGCAAGTTGAATATTTGATTAAATCAGATTTTTAAACATTGCATGAGAGCACAGTTGTTGAAAATTTGAATATGTGTGAATGTTTGCATATTCAGTGTTTTACTATTTTTGCATTTATACAGCTCTGTCTATCTTTTGAATACTTTCTTTGTTTTCAGTACTTGACAGAGAAGTTAATGCTTGGAAAGCAGAGTTCACTTCTTGGAGGCAAAACTGTGGGAGATACTCCGTTTGGCATCCCAGTAAATATCCAGATCACAGGTGAGACTGTTTTCGAATCCAGATCGGTGTTATCTTTGTATTAAATATGTATCTTCTTACTTACTGCAAACACATTTTTTTTAGATTAAAAAAGTAAACTTGATCATTTGTATGTCTTCTTGCGCAGATTGTCCTCCAGTGCTCTTTGAAGTGTCATGCGCTCATAACAGTTTCCAGATTGGAGGCTACCCGTGGCACTACATCTACACACCACCGCATAAAAGTCACGAAGGCACTCACCACATCTGTTCTCTCAAGGAAAGCACTTTAGTAAGTTCAAGAAATCCTCTTTATCATACACAATAACATGACAATAATGATTTGGCCATCTAAATACAAAGTGTGGCATATGCCTGGCAATGATAGAAAAATATCCTCAATCTTGTTGTCTGATGGAACACCAAATTGGCCTGAGCTTTTGAAAGTGTCAGGGTAAGAAGGGCCACACATGTTGGTGACAGTCTTTGTATTCAGCTGCTGGACAGAGCAGGACAGATCCAAATCTGTAATCACTATTCAAAACCCCACAATGGTCCAATTTATGCAGATCTTTTCTGCATGTGTCACAAAAAATAAAAACTTCTCTATTTTTTGTGCTTGTACAGTTCTATTAAAAAAAAAATGTACAAAAGAGCAACCTAGCTATAGTTATGTGCTTATAGTGCTGTTTGCTATACATTTGATTTCTATGCAATTCATATTGTATGTCCTAGTCAATCATTTATTGTAATTCTTTTTTAATATATGACATTAGGCAATACATGGTATACAAAACATGGACTGCTGCTCTCTAGTGAGTGATGCCATCTTCTTCCACCCTGATGACTCGGGGAGAATCTTTCATGTTGGCCCCGCCACAATAAAGTGAGTACTCGAGTCAGCTTTTACAGTACATGACACAATGAATGAAACCTGCAAGGAAAAACTGGTAAAATGTCTGTGGTTTGGAGGCAAACGTATCCAAACAAACACATCCTGAGACGTCCGACTTTTATGAAGTGGTCCTTTGCTGCATAAACAAATAGTATGATACTTTCTTTACTTTTCTTATGTTATTATACTGGACTTGTTATACAATATATATATTTTTTTCTCAAGTGTCCTTAAAATCAAAGGTGAACTGAACAGTGGTTTACCATCAAAGGTAGTTAAGGATTTCTCCATGGCAACTCTTCGAAACAACAATGTAAGTGTCATTATCTACCTACTAAGCCTAATGTATGCTGTGCTTCATACAGACATAGTTTGACTTATTGTATCACGAATGTATATGTATCACATGTGTGCACAATGACAATATTTGTGCGATTTAAATGGTATATTTATGATTCCTACTTTAGCCCTCACAAGTAACTGTCACGTCATCGGGCCGCACAGTGAAGAAAAGATTTCATCAGCTGGATGATGACCCAGATTTAGAGGTAAAAATGTATGCTTTAGCTATTGATACAGTATCTTTATTTTTACAGTAAATGTTAGTGTGCTAACAGGTTTGAAAGGAACTTTCTCCTTGTTTTCTTTTTTCTGACATCATTATTAGCTGCACCTGTAACCTTTCCCTACACAATGTTACATTATTAATGTATGTAGCAAGTACAAGGGTCAGTAAAGGCAAGATGTTCTGCTGTGAATCTGATCTTAAAAGAGAATGCCATTAAAAAGGAGGATACGGCGGAGCTTATGTTTTATCTTTGGCAACCTTATATTTACTCTGCATGGCTTCAGAATAATGTTACTTTAACTTTACAGACATTCCATATGGTGGAATATGAGGATGAGCTTGACCTTTTGGCAGTGGTGGTAACTAATGGTGAGGAGGGAGAAGGCAGAGCCCACATCCGACTGCACGACAACCAGAGTGGGCAGTTACTTCGGACGGTTGATCTGGAGGAACCATGGGACGAAGTGAGTGACCCAACGTGATTCTACCAATTTTAAAGTGTCTGTGTACATGTGTTCATGTGTGCTCTTATCTTTTCTTTCAGACGTACCGACATGAGTTGTTTTTTGATAAGGACACAATTGTTCATATTGAACAAAAGAACACCAACTTCTGCTGCCATGTTTACAAACTCAAGGCTGCCAGAAAATAAGTGCCATTTACTTTGTAAGGTTACATAAATATTTGAATTCAAAACTTGTTTTTGTACAGGTTTTCTGTTAAACATATCTGGATCACTGTGTCAATGTTTCTTATGTGTGGGTTACATTAACTTGGTCCGTCTCAAATATCAACATTATTTACACTCTTTATCTTTAAGAAAAAAAGGGTTTTGGTAATAAGTAAATGATGGTCCTTTGCTACTTGTCATCCTCTCTCTCCCTGTCCTCAAGTAAAAGTAATAAAGTATTGACATCAACATATATTGAAATAACTAATGTTGCCCATATTAGAATTATCTATATTTGAGTATTACAATAAGTGAATAATAATGTATTAGTGGATTATATTTTGTATTTATGCATTCACAGTACTTAAATACTATTATAAAAGACTAAATACAGTCCACTGGTTGTAGCCTAATAGATAAAACATAAACAAATTGTACCGTAACATTTTTGTAATTTTGCAATGTTTTTAATTTTTATTTGAATCACTTTATTTTTCATATTAAATGTATTTTCTCAAGTTAGTTTTTATGATTGTATTGATGGGTGGCAGTAGCGTGGCGTGGGGAAAAAATTAGGGGAAGCCAATAATACGTCCTTTCTTTTTTGGGGGGGGCGTGGTGGTCAATGTAATAACGTAACCAGATGAGTGAATACAGCGCCCGGTATCATTTTACACACATTTTTATCATACAGATTTACACACGCCTGTTATCTGACCGACAGGTCCGCACGCACTCTCCAGCCGAAACTCTAATAAGCATTCATTCACAAACTAAATCAGGAGACCTTTAACGTTTTACGTCCGGTTCGCTCCTTTGTTCCTCGCTGTACACAGCTACAGTTTGGGAATTGGCCTGTCATCAGATTGTATTTGTTGTTGCTGCTGCAGCGGAAGTTTAGTACAATTATTTTTGATTAAATACTCCAAATCTCCACCCTCCATTGCTTGCTACTTTCTAACGGCGGTGAGAGTGGTGCAGTGACGCTATCTATCTTCTATCGATTCGATTTATGATTCGAAAATTATAAAAGTAGGGTAGACATGTGGATATTATCCGACTGAACAAAACGTGCATTTACCTAACAGGTTCGTAAACTTCAAGGTTCTTTATTGTCAAACTAACATAGCTACTGAGTCATTATGTCGTTGAAAATCTTATGTCACAGGCTTCTCCAACAGTGCAACACAATAATACAGATAAGCAGACAATATTAAAATATACTATATTAAAAGTAATACAAAAAGAAAAATGGTTTTAGGTTTTTTGTGTAGACTGTAGTCGAGACGTGTTGCAAACTAAAGATGTAAATGTGTGTGTGTTTCTGCTGGTACCTGGTGGTCTTCATGAGGAAGGGTCTTCAGAGCCACAGTGAAGTCATGACTGATCTTCCCCGCGCTGCAGATTCCCCACCTGGTTGCCATGTTGGACGAGTAGAATGTTCCTGCAGCCCCGGACCCGGACAGTGCAAGACGGTACACGACACGCCCCCTACACGACACGCCCACCGACACTACGGTGGCTGAGAGACATTGATACCGTACATGTCAGATTAAAAACGAATTGCAAATGTTATTGTAGCATTTTAAGCAACTATTAGGCCAATACATTAATAACCTAGTATATCCGTTTGAGACACAACAGTTTATGACTTTCACCACAAATCATTTTGTCTAATTAATAAGTTAAAGGTCCCATGTCGTGCTTTTCCGGTTATTACCCGTCCCCTTGTGTGTTATGAAGGTTTTTAAGCATGTAAACGGTCTGCAGAGTCAAAAACCCTCAAAGTTCACCCGGTAGGGAGTAAAACTCTAACACAGAAAATACCTTCCCCAAAACGCCCGAGCCCCCAGGAAGTGCGCCGGACTCTGATGAAAATATTCGTGCTGGCCAAACGGCGGTACTACACTTCCGTTTGGTTGCCAGGCCCGGAAACACTTTTTCCCATTGACTTACATGGGGAAAGAATGGTATGTAATCGTTGGATAACTAAATAAACTACCCAGTATGAACACTTGTATAGCCCTTATTTAAAACATTCGTTCCTCAAGTTGTAAAAATGTGCTAATAACGTTATTCTGAGAACTATTTCCCTCTGCATTATGAACGCGCATCTAACCCACGGGACCGCGCCGCCCGGCACGTTCATGTGATGTGACGTGTTCAGTACTAAATGAGTTTTACCTTTACCCATGGATGCAAAATAAGAACGGACCCATATCGCCTTTCTGCCAGCCCACGGAGCTGTAATAATGGATATATTGCACATGTTTGCTGTAATTCATCATTTGTAAAATATTATACTACATGGGCTGTATGATGTAAATCTTTTATTAAATAAAGTTAATATTACCGACGTAGATTAACGTCTCTGTAGCTTCTTATTGCACTTGCAATATACCATTAAAGGAGTTGAACGTTGCTGTTTGCTATTACTATAATACCACGCAGGGATAAGCCGGGCTTTCTCTCTCGCTCGTGCCGGCGCCTTCATAAGCTCAGTTGCGGGTGTGTGGGCGGAAGCATCCGAAGGGATTTGCGTTCTCAGCATACACCCTTATTGCATATTCTGCGCTCATATACTGTGGTGTGTCTACTGTAGGAATTTCTGTGGTAAATTTGTTCGGTTATATGGGTGGAGGCCTCCTGAGTTAGACTGAGGTTAATTTTTATGTGTGTCAACTAATGTATGTGGTTCATTTTATACTGTGCCTCCTCCTTTTTTTCTAAATCTGATGCTCCGTTCAGGGGCTGCTTTCTTGGTTGATCATGGTTTGGGTGATCAGCACAATTTGTTACGTTGCACTACTTGTTGCTGATGTCATAATTAACAGTTGTTTATTGTAGTGTTTTTACCTTTCTTGTGTTGTTTATGCTGATCACTTTTTGGATTATTTCTTAGGGTCACAGAGTATATCAGTCTTGGTTGGCGACGGAGGCCCGCTCATCAGTCGCTCATGCTTGCGTTAAGTTGGGCAGTGTATTATGTCTGAACACTTTGGATTTCACATCTATCTTAGTTTGTTGTGTTTTTCTGAATCTTCTTTTACAATGCTGATATATTTCTCTCTGTAACAAATCTGAAAAAGTAAAGCTCTACAAATGCTAATAAAACAGTAGCATTTCAGCGGTGAGAAATCGCGGATTTTATATGAATTTCAGGACAAATAAGAATGAGACCTAAAAGAGGATTAACACAGTTAACACATGTACTCTGACCTGCTGGCCATTTGGAACAAATAGTGACACAAATGTAAATCAATTTATTAGATTAAAGGTAGTATATTATTGATTGCAATTGATTATATTAAAAAATCCACCAAACTGTCACAGGAAAGCCCTCTGAAGGGCATTTCATGGTTTGACAAAAGTGAGATGGGGGTCAGCAGTTCGATCAGGAGGACTTCTTTTGTTTAAAGACTATTTACCGCGAGGGCAGTCCCCCCGGCTTGACGTGCGCCCTTGTAGTGTTTTTTTACGGTCTTCTTTTTTGTGGCTTTTACTTTTTCGCCTGTTCTTTTCTACTTGTTTTGTTCAGCCTTGCCGCTTCGCTGTGGCTTTGTTTGGCGCTTCTCCTGGGTGCTGGTGCTAATGCTGCAGTAGCATCACTGTGTAACCTCAATGCGCAACTTGCTTTATTCTTGGACCTAATAGCGTTCGCCTCATTTGTGTGATTTCACCCAGCCTTTGACACATGGTTTATTGATAAATGTTAAGGGTTCGTTTGGTCGATTGCGCCACCAACCTGATGTCTTCACTCGAAGGTCTGAGGTAAGTAGTCTAATAGGGGCACTGAAGCCTATATCGTGCGTGCATATTAAGCGGTCCCGTCTCTTCGTGACAGTGTGGGTTGTTGTGTTAGTGTTTGTTATTATTGTGTGTGTGTTAGAGGCGGTGGGGATGGTGGGCCGGGTGTGATGCATTTGTGTTGTTTGTTTGTTGTGTCCTTTTTAACCTATTTTGCTTTTTTTTTTGTTTGGCCGGTAATTTGCGCGTCGTGGTATAACTCTGCGAGCACCAGTTTCCCGGGTGCTCCTGGCCCAGATATCACAATGGATATTGATATATTTCATTCTATTGGGTTTCTATTCTTTGTGTATTACTTGTTGTAGCACCCCTGCAAGGCTTGTTACTTCGTTTTGGCTATCTGACGAACTAGCGCAGTAGGAATGTGTTGGGCCTTCCTCTGAGGCTCTGTGGTGTATGGCGTGACTCTCGGATAGTACCTGTGCCAGCGCTGCGCACGTCACTGCGCCGAGGTGTTAGCGGAGTCGGAGGGCTATATTGCAAGTGCAATGTCTGAGGGTTACCAGTGTTAACTTCTAGCGTCTGGGTGCATTTGTATCTCGTTGTATTATTATAGTTTTTGTGAATTTACTCTGCGGTGGATGATAGTGTCTCTGTTCTCTCTGTTTGTGCGCTACCATAAGTTTTTTACAAGCGGTGTTTGATAGTTATTCTGTCTCTTCGCTGAAGCAGTTGCTCGCTAGTCGATTATCGTCCCGTATGTGAGTTATGTC